TAGATCATGTTGTGCCGGGGTGGAAAACCCTCACTACGCGCAAGGGGGATGATCGCACCACGTTTGTTAAAATGGTCAAGCACCCTCGAGGCAGTTACACAGTGCTTACAACTGTCTCTGGAAGTGAAAGCACCAGAAAATAAATTAAGTCATACGCAGCTGTCATCCGTACGCAAGGAAGTAAGCACAAGATGCCGAAAACCCTTAGCAGGATGCAGCGCACCCTTCATGCGACTCGCCGAATATCTCACGGCGCTTCGCGCTTGGTGATGTGAGAGCCTGGTCCGGTGAGAACCCGGCGTGCTCCGTCCCGGCTTTGTAGGGATGCGAGGTCAATGGTCTAACGACTACGGCATGCACGACAATGAGTTCCCCCCCCCCCCCTCTTGGGTGCCGCGGGTGGACGAAGCGACCGTAACGACAGCGCCCACCCCAGCGCCGCCGGACTCCCTCTCCTTCGCCCTTTGCTAGGGCGGCTCGGGGCAGGTCCGCCAGCACCTGTACGTGGCCCTAAAGGCTTGAAATTTTCCCGTCCAAGTCGTCGGCGATGTCCTGCCTACTCGTGGTGACGTCGGCAGGCTGGTCTGCAGCATCGGCGCCACTCATCTCCAGCACGGGTTCCCTCGAGGGATACACTCTTGTGTGTGTTGAAGATGCTTGTATCGCTTGTATTAAGGAAAGCAGAGATAAAGACTCTTAGGTATGGCGGCGGACGAGAGCGTAAGCACGCCGCAAGCACTCCCAGAGACCCGGGCCCAGTCAATCAACAATAAACCCAACCAGGGTGCTGTCAGTTCCTATCTGCGATACCCCCTAACACAGACCCGTCGGAGTATCCAAACCTACGAATGCACACACCGACAATCGCGGTCGTCCCTAGATGTAATGCAGACCGTCCATGCTTCCTTTTGTCATTTGCGATGTGCAGCAACCACTTTCTAACAATTGGACGCCATGCAAGTACGCTTGCCATGACGTGTCCACACGTGTGTACTTCCTCTGTGTTCACGAAGAACCACGGCAGCACTTCGGCGTGCTGTGCACTAGCGAATGCGCGTATCCCTGTTGCACCTAAGGACATTCTATTTTCAACACTATGTTGCGGTGCACACAGACTTCGATTCTGCCGGACTTCGCTGCCGGCGGCCCCACAGCCACTACGCGCACGGGCGGATACACCACCGCAAATTGCATCCACGCCGACAGGGTAGCCGGTGACAACGGCACATTACTTTATCTCACTTCCGTACGGCGTCGTCTTTTCCCCGTTTCCTCGTCACAGTTCCCACCCCCGTCTTCCGTCCACTTTACATTTGGTGATCGGGCAGATCGACCTTTCCACGAAAACTCCTTTCGATGTCATTTTTTTTTTAGACCACCGATTATCTTCGAAACAGACTAGTAGACCTCACACCGTCTAAGCCGACTTGTTGACCCTTCTTCCGTACCGATGCCATCATCGCCTCTACCTCCTCTGCCTTTCAAACCGTCGCACCCATCTCACGCATGCTGACGCCCGCCCCATTGGGGGGCGGGGAGCCAATTGTTCCCCGTAGCCTCTACGCACTTCCTCTGCCTAGCAAACCGCCGCACCCATCTCACGCATGCTGTCCGCCCGCCCCATTGGCGGGCGGGGGGCCAACCGTTTCCCCTAGTTAGGTATACTGACAACCAGCGGACAACCATGCGTTGCATCTGGCGGAGTCTCAGCATTGTAAACCAGGCGTTGGTGACAGCACGAGTGTGTCGACGTTCTGTTTCTTGACTGAATCTGCCCTACTTGTAGGCGGCTCATGGTGTGCTAGTCTTAGGTACATGATAACGTGATGCAGCGACATTTAAGCAGGTTTCGTGCAAAAAATGATTGGCTCCGTGCTGCTGCGTGCTTCATGTTTGTGGCAGATGCGCGACGGCAACGACGGCTCCGCGACGGCAACGATGGCAGCACGGCCAGCAAGAGGTGACATGTTCCGAAGTGTTCGCGGAGCGAGACCAGTTAAAACTGCTTGTGTTGGATCCATGGCAGCCGAAGCGGACCGCACAGCCTTGAAGGGTCTGGAGAAGAGGTTGTTCAAGCTGGTATCGGAGAAGGCGACACCTGAACAATGGTCGGAATGGCTTTGAGCCCCGCTGGAGCACGCTGTGGCCGGGGGCGACAAGGATCTCGCCTTGACCCTGCTGAAAGCCGGGGCAAACGGTGGATCAGGCTGGGAGGGTTGTAGCGACCGTAATCTGCCTCAGGCGGCGGCCGAGGGAGGAGACGAGGAGGTGGTGTCGACTTTGCTGGAGAAAGGAGGCCTAGAGGAATAAGACGTTGCCTCTGTCAATCAAGACAGGACTGCACTCCACCGGGCGCTTATTTGGGGCCACACTGGCGCGGCAAGAGCGCTGATGGTCGCCGGCGCAGACACAAGTTTGCTCGATGCCGAAAAGCGCAGCGCCCTGCACTACGCAATTCGAGGGGGGCACCTGCAGCTCGCCGGAGATGCAATCATTGGGGCAACCAACCTCCAAGCGAAAGATGTCAACGGTGACAACCCCCTCCACTTTGCTGCCGCTCATGACGACAAGTTTGTCTCCACGATCTTGCGCAGGGGGGCTCGTGTCGACCGGCCCAACCGCGAAGGAAAGTATCCGCTCCATGTAGAGGTGGAGTATAACCGACTCACCGTTGCAGAGGCTCTTTTGACGGTGGGTGCTAACTTAAACGTCCGATTCGGCATATCCAAAAGATACTCACCGCTTTACTTTGCACTACGGCGCAGTCCGGCGATGACAAGGGCTCTGCTTCAGCATGGCGCAGCTTCAGTTCGTCCGATGATCTTGGCTTCACAGCACTGCACTGGGCTGCCGATCACAACGCATCGGCGGAGATCGATATTCTTGTTGAGGCCAGGGCGGATCTTGAAGCGAGCAGTTCGAACCTTACCACGGAGTATGTGGTAAACATTCTTCCGTCGGCCTCACACCTCTTCACGTCGCCGCCTACTACCACCGCAGTCTTTCTATGGCCGCACTGCTACGTAGCGGAGCTAACGTCGATGCAGAGGCTGACAACGGCCTGACTCCGCTGCATATGGTGTGCAAGACCTCCCTCGCCCCCGGTTCGGTGAAAGCGAACGACCTTTTGCTGAGCTGGGACGCGGACGAAACGACCACCGACCACGATGGCCGCACTCCCAAAGCCCTAGTTTCTGGGCGTTCGTCCTTGAGGTGGCGGGTGCGGCAGAAGCTGGCCAACGCTCCAGCAGACAGGTTATGGCGCTCCCGAGGCATGTTGGTCATGTGTCGGGCTTCCCCGCAGAAGGTGACAGGCACAGGCCGGGGGGGAAGAGGTGGCAGGGCTAGAGCCCGGATCGGTTCCGGCCGTGGGCGCGGGGGTCGTAGTGCGAGCCGAGGTCGCAGGAATGGAAATTTACTGGCGCGCGTGGTGGGGCAAAAGGATGATGAACTTTTCCGGGCGATCGCGACGTTCCTGTGAAAGGTGAGGGGCGTGTTGTAACTTGCTAGGTGCAGCAGCCGCCAAATGGCAAACATGATGCCCACGACAAATTTTCAGGATTCATCATGGTTGAAAGCCGCCATCGTGGCGTGTGGACCCTCTTGCATCACCTCGGTTGATGGCGCGACCACGATACGTGTCCTTTGCCTTGGTTTGCTTGCCGTATTTTTTCTTGTCACAGGCGGGGCATGTGCTCTACGATGCAAGGGGGAATGCCACAAGCGTGTTTAGACACGTCAATTGCCGCCGTTTCCCCCCTTTTTACCGATATATGGAGACGAACACGCCTTTTCACGGGAGCGAACCACGGAAGATGAGGGCGCTCTGCTGCTCGAAGGTGCTTGCTTTTGGCCGTTCGCTCTGACCAGAGTTTGTGTTGTTACGCCCTCCCAAGATGCGAGGCATGTTGTTCGATAACCTCCTCACAATACTTCGTGTGGTAGATTTGGAGCCGTTTGACCTTAAGTATTGTGGACGGTAGAAGTGAAGAGTTCGGGTACCCCAACAGGAGATTGGGCTGGATAGCAACGCAACGGTCATTTTTGGGAAAAACTAGAGTTGTCCAGTTCACGGCGTTTGATGGTCACGTCTCATCGTCTTTCGTTGTCTGTTCGTCCAGAAAGCGGGGGAATAGTAATCCAAGAGTCCGGGCAAACGCTTCAATCGTTCAGTTGTTCAATCCTGGACAACAGGACCTGTTGTTAGACATATAGGGGCGGGCAAATATTCCGATACCCGTTGCTAATGACGTGGATAAGAATGTTCCCATCGAAAAATGTTGCCGAGGGAAGTTGATTGGACGCAATTCGTGTCTGTTTCTTTTGTGATAACGGGTTTGGGTTGTGCTAGTATTATAAATTTTTCGTTGAATCGGTGTTGGTTGGCTGACCTAGACCCGGGAAGGTGTCCATCGGCTTGAGCTAGTGGCGCATAAGCTACACAACATCAACTAGGGTGCTTGACATTTGAGTAAATACGCGAGTCCAAGCAGCCTGGTTTCCTGGGCAACTGTGTTTTTAGTGACAGAGCGGCCTCGCCTTGTTTTTTGCTGTAAGTCGAATCTCCCAACGTGGTACGTCGTCAACCTTTCGATTTTATTGTTCTACACGCGGAGAAAACAATGCCATCGAGTTAGGTCGGGAATAGAGAAAACAAGGCTAGCGCTTCATGAGAGATTCACGGACGTGGCAATTGCTTTGGTGGCCGCAGTTTTATCACTTGCACGGGGGAATGCCTGGGTTACACAGCTATGAAGGTTGCTTGGAGTTCGCTTACTGCTCATCCTCCACCTAGATTACTCTGGTCTTACACTTTGTCATTGTAGATAGGACATCTGTAGTATGTACCTGGTATTGGTGAGGGGTTGTTTGGCTTTTTGGCATTCGGAATGTTGTAAATGAAGGGAGACTTTTGACTGGACAGAAGACCTAATAATGCTTGCAACGTTTGATGAACCTCTTCCGACATGGAGAGGTTTGGTGAGCACGGTAACTCAGGGTGTACATGGGGAGTGCCGCCTTCGCTTGTTGGTGCGCTCCTCTTCGTGTGCCTTTTTTGGTAGTTAGCCTTTTAGACATGACGGATACATTCGAGAAGATCTGAGCGCAGATAGGTCGGAATTGATTGGAAGAAGGAAGACACTATACAGCAACAGCAGCCATAGCAACAACAGCATAAGCCCCAACAGCCTACGGGGAAATGTAAGGGTATAGACTAGCCTAAACAAGTCACAGTCGCCAGCCTATTACATTCTTGTGCCTCCCGGAAACTGACACGAAGGTTTCCTTTGGTTCGTGGCCAACCACAGTATCCTCACATTTCTTTTTGCCACTGCCCGCATAAGGAAGGTACTTTTTTGCCACCCATCAGCAGGCGTCTTTTCCATCGTCTCCCTTACCCTGATTGTTCCCGCCACCGAGGAAATTGCGGTAGGTCATCATCAGCGGCATTGTATGCCAGCATGCGGAAGCAACAAGGCTCTAGTCTCGTATTTTTCTCTTCCGTCTCGTGGCGACGAGGGGGGAGAGGAACGGCCTTCAGAAGGGGCCAGGTCGGGGCTACAATACCACAGGAGGTCGAAAGAGCCCATTGCTCTCAATGGAGGCATCAGACATATCAAAGCGGACGCACACGAAGAGTCAATTGACCATGAATCGAGCCACTCACTTCATGCTATCCTTGTACAGCCTTGTTTCAAGAAGGTGAAGCCGTGGGCGGTAGCTTGCTTCAAAAGATAGATGAAGGTTCTGTCGTTGACACGCTTGCCCACAACCACGTTGAGGTGGAAAAGTTGCTTGTTATTGCTGAGAGACGATCAGCAAGGGTCTGAGGTTTTGTGGGGATCCAACTTCATCTCAGGCTGTACACCGAGTAGACAATTGTAAGGGGGTAGGGGTCAGAAGGGTACACCTCCTGACCGACCCGCATCCTATCAACAATAAGATGTACCCTATTCATGCTAGCAGCCACACTCCTTAACACTTGTGCACCTTCTAGGCCAGGGCATCATCATCACCGAGTTTTCACCGGCCATGCCAATTCTCCGCACACAGACAAGTACTCTGCTGAAGACAATGAAGTATTCCTAAGTTCAAAGGGTTGGGTCCGGGCGATTGAATTCAGGGGCAACGATCAATGCCTCCCACCCTTTAGAGAGCTCAACGAGTTCTCGTTGAGTGAGCAAAGCCGACATTTGGCAGCTTTTGGTCGGTCACCAATGCCTTGAATGATTTATGGAAAGTGCACGGACAAATGAATGAAGACATGAGAGAGAAATGCTTCTACCCGAGATAGTGAAGGAGATAATAGTTTGGGAGGATGGCAGATACCGTCCCGGGGAAGGTGATAACACTGGTAAATCCCTCGCTATAATAAAGAAAAAACTAGCTCGGAAATACTGATGTAGACTATTCTGAAAGGAAGAGTCGAGAAAGAAGGGTGAAACGTTTCGCAGAACGTTCCTCAAGGAAAGAGACAGTATTTTGAAAAGTGAGATGGTGTTTTCACTCTCCGAACAAACCAAGCGTCGCCACGGAAAACAGGAGACAAGGAAAGTCTTTGGGGAAGTCACCACCCACCCACCCTGAGCAGATAGTATTGATCCTAGTTACTTTCCAACAAATTACTGCGTCGAGTATACGGACGATCAATCACTACAAAATCAACACATCGAGAATTGAAGTGATCTTTCCTATTCGCGACGGCGTGGCAGCACCGACCACTCGTGGAAGGTGATGCCACTGATAAATCCCACACAAAAAGAAAAGCAGAACTAGCTCGGAAACACTGATGTGTTTGTCTAGAGTACGTGGATATGTGGAACCGGTAGGCCGAGGCAAAATTGGAGGTGGCCGACCTCTCGGCGCAGGGGCCCCCGGAAGGTTTATCTTGATACAATTGTGTTCATGGAAACTCCTCGGAACTGGGGCATTGCACACAACATTAGTCCATCTATCGAGGTGTTACAGAACAAAAAAGGTCGCCAGTTGACCTGCCCTACACTCAACACATTTAGGCCGCCATTTATACCTCTCGAGGGCAAACGGTTGATGACTACTCTACAAGCTCATACATATTGGCAAGGCCAGACACGCACGAGTCAAAGCTAAAGGGAGCAGAACATTGCAATGTCCTTGCGTGTTAGTCGGGGAAGAATTCCAACCGACCGACGGACAGGACACATCAACGGCGACAAATTTACGGGCTGCGCTCGGTCACACAAGAGCGGCAGTGGCAGAGCTTCATTCGTAGCCTCGAACACTATCACTGGCTCAAGGTTGTGTGTACCAAATCTGTCCAGAGTCACAAAACTCACAGTTTTTCAGAAGTGTCAGCGAATAGATGGCGAGCACACCCAACACAACGGTTCTCGCAAGCATCGTACAGGAGGACGGTGGAGAATTCCGGCATACTGCTGTGTGCCGAAAGGTGTAGACCGACGCCCACAATAAACGTCACTCAAGTTTCCACGGGGAACTAGGTCCCCTGCCTATCGCTATGGCCTCCGACAAGACGCCTGTTTGCCTCCTGAAAGAGTGTTGAGCTCTCTCCCCCCTAGCTGCGAATGGTCCTTCGTCGAAGTCGTTGGTTGGCATTCAAGCCTTCAAGAACGACTCAAAATCACCTTCCAAGCAGTGAGATACCGCTACACCATCGTTTCGTTTGGGACGGTTGGTCAACGTCTGGTCCAAGGTTATAAACTGGGCGTGCGGGCGCGCATGCGGAAGTGGAAAAAACACTGCGAGGCATCACAAAAGCCGATCATTACAAACACCATGTACGTCGGGTCATCGGGAGGGTCGGGCGAGCACCAACCAGAGGACATCACAGTGATGGAGAATCTCCGTCCAACATTCTCGTAAAACATCAGCAGTCCAATATTCGACCGCAGCGAAGAAACGGCCTAACACCCGTCAATAGAAGGGTGAATATGGACAGTATAGACGATCAGACCGCTACATCACAAATACTTCAAAAAAAGAAAAGTCCATTTTCCCCCGAAAAACAGCGCTTGAAGGGTTTATTACGTTCGATTCCGCCTTTGCAATACTAACAACTTGAACGGAGTCATGAAGCCACATCCTCAACCCCAACGCCCTCAAGCAATCGTCGCGCGGCCTCTCCCGTTAGCTCGGGGTCCGCCTTGCCCCCAGACAAGGCTACCGCCTGTCCCACGAAGAAACTCCTGCAGCTTGGTCTTGCCCGAGCGGAACTCTTTCACCTTATCCGCGTTGGCCTTCATCACATCACTGCCAAGGTTGACGACAAAAAGTCGAGGAAGCGAACTATGTTGGTACGGGTCATATACTGCAGACGCCGAGTCATGCCCCGAAGCACACCCGAGGTGGTGAACGACGCCTCACAGCCAGAGCACACGGAATACCCGTAGAAATGCACGGAAAGCTGGTAAACGTAGCTCTCGCGCCATGACGGCGCAGGGGGCGTATCCGCAAGATTATGTGTCCCTGAACACGTGAAAA